TCTAGTACATGTGAGTTCACACTTATGCACTCTTTGTGTTACATACTACATCATCAGCATCCCATTTGCTTATATTTTTGTTATGTATATTCACCTTATGAGAACGGATTCCTCCAGAAGAGGATTTGAAACCATAAGAAGAACATTGGCAACATTTATTGTATGTTTTATCCTGGTTTGTCTGTTGTTGTTTTTTTTTTATCTGGTGCTTTATTATCTGTTCTTTACACTTTGTTGTTTTGTCTAGGCGCAAACCTGTTCTACTGTGTCTTTTTAAGATAAAAAGCATAACTGAAAGAGAAAAGGGAAGAAAAAGTACTTGGTATTTTTTGACCCTAGCAATGCCCCTGCTGTGCTGAATTACCTTGCAGTAATCAACAAATTCACTAGAGTTAAAAATTGTTAGATGAACACTTTTCTGATTAATTTAATACATCTCTTTATTCTTACTCTTGATTAAGGTTTCAGTTGCCGTTCTATGTAGGCACTCAAGTCAAAAAAGCAAGAATTTTCAGAAAGAGCAAGTTTTCCAGTTACGTTTTAAAACACATTCCAAATACCATAACAACCTAAGGTACTTGCATAGGCCTTGGTGTCAGTAGATCTCCGGTACACAGTTGCTTATTCATGTAGATATAAACCTGCCCTTACGGCGACAGACATCAGAAGAGGAAGTTGTACTTCTTCTCCCCATGCCCATATTTGTACAGCCTACACACGATGGACAGCACTCCATTCAGGTCTCTACCGCTCTTGGCTGGCTGGTTGGCTCTGAGATAGAGAACACAATTGTGGACTGAAGTATGAGAACACCCATTGCAGCCACAATATAACTGCCATCAGATGAGGTATCAAGCCCATTCATCCTTTAAATTGAATTACTGCCAAGTACTGCATTACATATGCCATGAATCTCTTCTGGACAGTGGTCTAAGACAGGCTTTCCCAAACTCTGGCCCTCCAGATGTTGCTGAACTACAACTATCATGATTCTCATACAAACACAAAGATAAAGCACCGCGCTTACAGCAGCAGTAACTTAGTATCCAACAGCTTAAAATACATAGTAAAAACAAAGAGAACGCTACCTGCGCTCTGGCCTAAATCCCCATGTACATTTAAACAAAATGGAGGCTCTTTAGTTTTATTCCAATGGCCATGTGAATACATAAGCTCACCTGCCACGTCAAGGCAAGCCTCAATAGGTGAGTCCTACACTAGCCATTAGATATGCTTGTGGCAAAACCGGCCTCGCCATGTGTCCTTGGAGGGGGCTGCTTGCCCGCCTCTTGCCTTTGGACTATGGACCAGACTTTATGTGAATGTGTTATACCCCAGATAGGAATCCCATGGAGCCCATTCGTATGAAACTGACTGTAAGGACTTTGGCTCCATGGCGATTAAACTGTATTTGTGTGGTCCGAGCGCCATTCACTTAATAATGTGCGCTCAGACCTGAGCTATCTGGGGATATGTGAAATGTCTGTGTGTTATGTGTAAAATGTGACTTTATGTATTTTAAAGTGTTGTGTCTTTTTGCAACCATGTGCTTAATGGAGTCTTGTGTCTGTCCTGGGAGATAATTGAATTACTTATCTCCAGGATAGAAGACTCTGAAACTGGTTTGGGCCAGAAAGCCATGCTTCATTTAGTCACAAAGGACTTTTTACTAACTTTTGAACCCCTTGTCTGATTTGTGCCATTTTTGAATATGTTGTTCCCCTGGATGGATTGATTGTGAATATGTAATTTTATGTGAATGTGATGTATGGTTTTGGAGTTATGAAAGTTGGGTAGAAAGTATGTTTTAACTGTATGTATAATTGAGTTTCCTCTCAGGATAAGGGGAGGGAATATGTGGGATGTAACTGTGATGTGATTGGTTGTTTTATACCTCCCTGTGGGCAGTCTTGTATTTGCAGGACTGTAATAAAAACCAGGCTGGGTGTGCCAGCACCTGAGTTCCTGCTTAACCCTCAAAGTGAAGTGTCGTCTCATTATTGGGGGAAGGATTTATTGTATGCTGTTCCAGTTTGACTGCTAGGAGAGTAAACCTATTAATATGGTTCCTATTCAACTGTCTACAGCATTCATATGCTTGGGAGGATTCATATGCTTCTCCGGTTCGGTGGTTGTGGTGTCTGCTGCAGTGCTTGGAGTCCTCAGGAAGCGCTAGGAGCATCCTTTAACGGAGGTACCCAGTCGGGGTGCCAGGCGATCCGTTACATTGGTGGCAGCGGTGGGATGGCGTCCTAGTGCGAGGTAAAGCAGCTCAGAGACACAGTTCGTGGATTTACAAATTGAAGGTGACGCTAGTGTTCATACAGCGTCCCTGTCTACATAAAGATTTGGGAAAACCAGCACTACTTCAGAGATGGAAGGCCGTGCAGTATCTCACTTTGACGCCAGGCTCCATCAGCGACTACAGGATGTGATGCGCAGTATGGAGTATCCTATCCCAGAGGAAAGAGAGACAGAGTGGAGGGTGGCGCTTCGTACCGATCTCTGGAAGGAGGACATCGACGAAATTCGACCCTTCCGGTGCGAGGAAATCCTGACCACTAACCAGCGCCAAGCAGAACAACTAGAGCTGCGGATGCCGTTATTGGGAAACCAGCCCTCAGAGGAATGGGTAAGCGAACTGGAGACGCTAGTTGAGACTGAGGTGTGGCTGGATGATTCCTATCGGGCCCTGCGGTGGCATGTTTACCACCTCTACCCATGGCTGATTGAATACAAGTGTATTGAGGGGGAAGACTACGACGGCCCTGGTTTGTTGTGGGATACTATTGAAACTAGTCTCTGGTTCGGAGACACCGACATTGCTCGCTTCTGGTCCATCCGAGCTGAGCGGGCAGACAACTGGGACCTTACAGAGATCGATGCCATTCAGCCAGATCTATCTTTTCTTGCCAACCGAGAGTGGGAACTAGAACAGGATTATGTTTGCCTATTCCAACGTATAACGCCGCCTGTCTTTGACATGATGGGGCTTATTGACTGTATACCACCGGAAGCATTGAGTTTATTTCCTCCTCCCCAGCAACCAAGCCTGTTATCAGGAGACTTTGGTACTGTACCACATATGTCCCAACCAGCCCCAGAGATGGAAGACCTTATTGACTTGTCCTGGGAAGACACCCAGCTGGCAGGTGGGGATGGGACCGAGGTCTCTCTACAGGCCCTACAGGGATGCTGGGCAGTCAGCCCAGATCCCCAGCGGCAGTATGTATCCCAGGGAGCTGAAGGTGCTGTACTTCCTCCCCAGCGGCAGTGTGTCCTGCAGGAAGCAGAGACAGTCGGTCTCGCTCCCCAGCAGCAGGGCAATATATTAAAAGGGGAGACAGTCGGTCTCCCTCTCCAACAGCAGAGAGAGTGTCAGGGAGAGGAGCTTGTTATCCCCTCTCCCCAGCGGCTGAAAGTATGTATGGGAGAGGAGCTTGTTACCCCCCCTCTCCAGCGGCAGTCTACAGTTCAGAGAGAGGAGCTTGTTACACCCTCTCTCCAGCGGCAGCCTAACCCACCAAGGGGAGATGTTAAGCCCCACAACTATGCAGATGGGACCGTAGTCTCTGCACTTGCAGCCCCAGGGGCAGGGACGGTCGGTCTAGTCCCCCAGCCACAGAGCAGTGTATCCAGAGGGGAGACAGTCGGTCTCCCCCTCCCCCAACCAGGCTCCAACCAGGCTACTTCAGTGGTAGCGCTGGCACCCGGGCAGAGTACCGCTGGTCTCTGCCCACTCAGCAACCCACCAAGGCAGTCTACCAGCCCCTCGCACAGCCATGGTGAGGCACCTGGACATGGACAAGTTGCTATTTTATCCAGGTGTAGTAACCAGTTATTGTGGGTGGGCTGTATTGCTGTTTGTGCTTCGTGGGTGGGTTGCTGGACTAACCAGGGCACTGACCGGCAGGAGGTCAGATACCCTGTTAGTTTGGATGGTAAAGGGGAGAAATGTGGCGAAACCGGCCTCGCCATGTGTCCTTGGAGGGGGCTGCTTGCCCGCCTCTTGCCTTTGGACTATGGACCAGACTTTATGTGAATGTGTTATACCCCAGATAGGAATCCCATGGAGCCCATTCGTATGAAACTGACTGTAAAGACTTTGGCTCCATGGCGATTAAACTGTATTTGTGTGGTCCGAGCGACATTCACTTAATAATGTGCGCTCAGACCTGAGCTATCTGGGGATATGTGAAATGTCTGTGTGTTATGTGTAAAATGTGACTTATGTATTTTAAAGTGTTTTGTGTCTTTTTGCAACCATGTGCTTAATGGAGTCTTGTGTCTGTCCTGGGAGATAATTGAATTACTTATCTCCAGGATAGAAGACTCTGAAACTGGTTTGGGCCAGAAAGCCATGCTTCATTTAGTCACAAAGGACTTTTTACTAACTTTTGAACCCCTTTGTCTGATTTGTGCCATTTTTGAATATGTTGTTCCCCTGAATGGATTGATTGTGAATATGTAATTTTATGTGAATGTGATGTATGGTTTTGGAGTTATGAAAGTTGGGTAGAAAGTATGTTTTAACTGTATGTATAATTGAGTTTCCTCTCAGGATAAGGGGAGGGAATATGTGGGATGTAACTGTGATGTGATTGGTTGTTTTATACCTCCCTGTGGGCAGTCTTGTATTTGCAGGACTGTAATAAAAACCAGGCTGGGTGTGCCAGCACCTGAGTTCCTGCTTAACCCTCAAAGTGAAGTGTCGTCTCATTATTGGGGGAAGGATTTATTGTATGCTGTTCCAGTTTGACTGCTAGGAGAGTAAACCTATTAATATGGTTCCTATTCAACTGTCTACAGCATTCATATGCTTGGGAGGATTCATATGCTTCTCCGGTTCGGTGGTTGTGGTGTCTGCTGCAGTGCTTGGAGTCCTCAGGAAGCGCTAGGAGCATCCTTTAACGGAGGTACCCAGTCGGGGTGCCAGGCGATCCGTTACAATGCTGATATCAGCCAAGAATCTCCAGTAAGACTAGAAGGGGTATTTTATAAACCCTTTCACATTTAACCCTTTATAGGGCTTCTACACATACAGTCTGATACCAGCAAAGTTTATTGTTTGTGTAGAAGCCCTATAAAGGGTTAAATGTGAAAGGGTTGACAGCCAAGATGGCCGGATGTACTCCTTGAGAGCTCCTGCACCAGCGGGCAAACAAACGCGCATCCTGACTAAACTGCCCATGCTGGTGGCACACAAAGCCCCAAAAACGGAGTGGAACCGCATGGGGAGCATAACAATACCCGTCATGTACCACTGCACACTGTGGGCACATGGACCAGCCACGCAGCCTACACTGGAGCAGAGTCCGAGGCCTGGGGGAGACGGCCGACCCCCCGGCATGAGACCTGCTCACAAGCGAGCGTTGACTACTGCCCTGCCACCCCCATCCTGGACCGGCGGGGGATATCCCGGTCCTCGCTGGGAACGATTACCCCAGCAAAGCGGACTAAACAAGCGACCAAACCTACAATCAAACGAGACAATAGAAATGCAATCAAGATGACGGCCCAGGCGCGTCCGACGCCAAAATGCACCCTCGTTCAGCCATCCAAGCACACCCAGGAGTTCTTTGCCCGGCTATGTAACAGCCTATGGACAAGGATCCGAACTAAGGGCCGGTCCTTCCACCTCACCATGAAAACAGTGGCGGCATGGATCCGGCCGACTACACGGCGACACCTGTGCACATATTCACCACGAGCTCCCGGGGCGACCTCTAGTCAGAGGTGGGAGGCAAGGTGGCGGGATAGGGCAACAGATCCCTCAGACGCCGACACTCAGCCTCACATGCACCACAGCAAGACCACTCACCACACAGTGGCGCAGGAAACCTCCAACCGCCGAAAAGCAACCCCACAGATGAAGACCCACGAGATCCAGCCTCCTGCAAACGAAAGACAAATGCGGAGAGCACCTCCGAGATGAAGAAGGGACGGAACTCTACAGCGGCACCAACTCTGCCATTGCCCTTTGCTCACCCATCAAGCCCCCATCGCAGACCGACCAGAACAAGCCGCGCAGAGAATAGACACAGGAATCGGCTGACTGCTGAATGGGGCCGTCAAGCTGCATCTACCTGAGCACTATGAGACACTGAGCTTTGCGGCAGCTAGCTCCATGCTATGAGACTCTCTTAAGCCAACCAGATGAAGCATTTAAGCTAGTACTCATACCCATGCTTTGATAGGACCTGTAGTTTAGCCTGGTTATAGATTAGGATGTTAATCTTACATGGCCTCACCTAGCCCATCTTAAATGTAGGATTCAATACACCCAACAAGTTAGTTACCTGCATAAGATTAATAGCTTTGTTTTAGCCTGAACCCAGTTTATTAGCATGTATACTACTGTTACTTTAGTTGTAATCTCTGCTACGACCTCACAACCTAAATACTAAATGTGTGCCTAAACTACTGCATAGTCCAGTATTTCTCATATAACAGTCTACCTAGATAGGCATCGCTACCAGAATAGCCTGTTTATACCATAACATTTAAAAATGTGCCGATACTCTCATGCCACGAATGTACAACTACTGTGTTTATATCTTTCAATTATGCCGTTGTGGCATTGGAAAACGTTTTGTCATTCCTTGCACAAAGAAAAATAAAGAATTATAAAAAAAAAAAAAAAAAATGTGAAAGGGTTTATAAAATACCCCTTCCTGTCTTACTGGAGATTCTTGGCTGATATCAGCATATCTAATGGCTAGTGTAGGACTCACCTCTTGAGGCTTGCCTTGACGTGGCAGGTGAGCTTATGTATTCACATGGCCATTGGAATAAAACTAAAGAGCCTCCATTTTGTCTAAATGTACATGGGGATTTAGGCCAGAGCCCAGGTAACGTTCTCTTTGTTTTTACTATGTATTTTAAGCTGTTGGATACGAAGTTACTGCTGCTGTAAGCGCGGTGCTTTATCTTTGTGTTTGTATATGAATTTTGTATCACACAGCTATGTTACATTGCTGCCAGCCTCCCCACGTTTGTCTTATTAAGAGTTTATAAGTATGTAGGGGCAGCACCCCTTCCTGTCTCATCAGAGAAATTTGCATTTTAGCTGATATCAGCAAGGTGATTTGTATGTGTTATGGCCCTATTCAGGGTTAAGTATGTAGGGGTTTATAAAATACCCCTTCATGTCTCAGAAGAGATGTTTACACTTTGTCTGATACCAGCAAAGTTTATTGTATGTGTAGAAGCCCTATAAAGGGTTAAATGTTAAAGGGTTTATAAAATACCCCTTCCTGTCTTACTGGAGATTCTTGGCTGATATCAGCATATCTAATGGCTAGTGTAGGACTCACCTATTGAGGCTTGCCTTGACGTGGCACGTGAGCTTATGTATTCACATGGCCATTGGAATAAAACTAAAGAGCCTCCATTTTGTCTAAATGTACATGGGGATTTAGGCCAGAGCGCAGGTAACATTCTCTTTGTTATTATCATGATTCTCAGCCTATCTATTTCATTAATAGAATCATGGGAGTTGTAGTTCAGCAACATCTGGAGGGCCGGAGTTTGGGGAAGCCTGGTCTAAGGGATAAGTTTAGACTCCTGTGAACTCCTGATTGGCTGACCAACAAAGAGCCAATGTTTCACCATGTTTCAGCCAATGTTTTCTTTAAGATTATATTGTGGCCACTATAATACAGAACAGGCAATTATGGTTTTAGAATAACAATGGCAGCAGCTGCAATATCCAATTATTAAACTAGAAATTGTTGAACTTTATTTGCATATCCCTTAGACATTTCTATTACTACCTATATCATTTCATGTTTTATAATTAGGTAACTCCTTGCCATGTCCAATTGCTTAATTATATGCGATTTAATCAGACTGCGTACCTGAAACTCTGCAGTGATTACTATTTCTCAGACGTATGATCTTCCTGTTAAAGGTTCACCCTTGCTAGTCCCATTTGACAATGAAAAGGTTATATAACATTAAACAATCAGATAAAATAAAATAAAAATAATGTGTATATATGTTCTGAAACATACAAAAAATGAGGTATAAATATTATACCAAACAAGTGGAGCGCTATAAGCAGTGAAGGGATTCACTCACCCCTTTAGTACAGTGACAATCTTGAATATTAAAGCTTGAATGTACATATAAAAGAAAACAGAAAAAAAACAAGAAATATAGTGCAGATGGTTCCCAAAAATAGACAGTTAATGGTAATAAATGACTGAAACCACTCACATGGACAGGAGCCTATGCAAACACACCCCTTTTAATATTAATACATTTAATGTTATTATTTTACACTTTAGTCCAAAGTCTTTTCTAGCCATCAGAATACTGTGAAGTAACACTCTCTATCTCCTTATAGAGATAGTTATTATATTGATTATATCCTGAAACATAACTTCAAGGACAACTTCTCCGGCATAATTAACCTCTTCTCTTTTAGCCAAATGTGATATATAATTCTTGGGTTAAACAAAAGCAAAGACTTGGCTGGGGGTCTGATTAATTTCCTCGTGGCTTATTAAAGCAGCACTGTCACCTTTCCCCCCACCCCCCAAAGGACAAAGAAAATGAGTGTTTCATGAATATAGAATCTTTATAAATGACTAATTTTCACAAACATTCCAACACAGTCAATGAATATACTTAGACAGAGTAGGGTCTACTTTGACTCTGTTTATTTCCTATACCTGACACTTCTAGACACTGGGCAGAGCTACCGTTATCTAGAGGTGTCAATTCCGACATGGACTTGGCTCTGTCTATGGAGGATGCCGCAGTCAGGCGGGATCTTCCATAGACTTCAGTGCTGTACAGTGAGAGTACAGCATTGAAGTCGGCTTCCCTGAAGAGGACCCTCTGGAGGAAGATGGCTGCACCCACGAGGGAAGGTTCAGGTAAGTGGAACTCATCTTCACCTGCCCCGGCCACATGACCCCCCGTGCAATGTCACTGTCAGAGGTCTTTATGAATTTTGCAAAGTCTCCAGGCAGTAACACTTTAAGGCGTTTTATCCAACTGTGAGAGCCAGGTTTAGACAATTATAGGTATGGTATAAATTATGTCATGGAGTCAAGGCTTTGAGGAGAGTTTGTGGATAATTATCAAAGTGTTGCTGCATATTCTGCAACTTTTTGGGGATTTAATTTTACTGCTGTGTGCCTTTTTATTGCATTTATTTATATGTATGTCTTTTTTTGTCACAAGAAAAGTATTCCATTTTGTGGCATTCTGTCTACTACTGTTATCTTGGCGTTAAAACTAGGCAGAATGTTGACATATTCTTAGTGAGCTGTAACTGTGAAAGAGAAAAAATTCTGACTGATGATACAAAGAGCAGAGATTACTTTTAAACATTGTAACTACCCCCCCTACTCCTGTCACTCATATTTCTACCCTAACTGTTTCTTTCCTTCCTTATACCTCTGTCCAGCTTCATCTCCCCCTCCTTTTCCTCCTGCTCTGTCTGTTTCTGTCTCCCTTCCCTCATTTTCCCCATTCCCTGCCCAGCAACTGAGGTCTTGCAACATCTTGTTGCAACTTTTTCCTCCTTGCCCTCCCCAACCTTTTCTACCCTAGTTGTTTTGGCTCAGGCAGACAGGGATATTCTTTTACTCGTTCCTCCTTCTTTCCCCCCTGTCCTACTTCCCTCCTCACTACTTCATTGCCAGATCTCCATGAGACGTCTGCTGGCTCCTTGGCACCCACGGTAGTTTCTGAGTGCAGCCAAAAGGAACCAGGACCTCCCCCAGCCTCATCCCTCTACTGTTTAGGCCAATGGAGAGATTCTGAGGATGCTGATGGCCCCAAGTGGTTTTCCTTGGGAGGCCCAAAATGGCACCTGCGCGTGCACTGGAAGTAATGTGAACATCACTTCCAGCTGGCAGATCCGCACTTCTACCTATCATGTGATCAATCAGCCTTTGGCTTCTTCTCTCATTGTAGCTCCTGTGGCTGCTAGTTCTCTATTGCCTGATGGCACAAGGTTCAATTTATGACCAGTCACGTCCCTGGTGTTAATAACATGCTGGCAACTGCTTTGTCGTGATTTCAGTGGGACCTCCTCAGGTCTCTTGCCCCTTTTGCATCACCTCAAGGTATTGATTGTCCTCCTTTTCTC